ACCCAAGCAAATCACGACCCAAACCTCAATCTATCTTCCACACTCCGGTCGCTTTACCTTATATATACTAAGGACACAATAGGGACGATGTTTTTCAACTATTTTTCAGCCACAAAGGCTATGAAGAAAAGGAAGAAAATCAACCGAGAGAGAAAGAGGCAGAGAGTTTCTTCTTCCAAGACAAAGGTAAACACGCGTTCCAAATCATAGGAGACCAAGGAGGCTAATATATATAGGTTAGATTAGGTCAAAGTGTGGGCCAAGTCCAATACAATGAGATTAAGTGGGCCAACATATATAAGTCGTCTAATGAGTGTAGAAGCCGGGCAATGAGCAACACTAATTTATTAGGTTGCTTCCAATTGTCGAAATAGTTTTAGGGTCGGGTCCTTAATCTTGGGTATCGATAATTAATTTATCCAATATCGATTTAATATCATCACCCGGGATTATTGGGTATCAAAAAACCCAATAAGAAATATTAAATTTTGCTAACTCATTTTATCTAGAAGAGCCTCCACCTTAGTCAAATCACTTTACAACGTCTGCTCCCTTTCCCTTTTTTTTTTTTTTTTCGGGCCTCGTCAACTAGAGAAAGTCCCAAACATATTCCATTGGAGATGAACTTTTGTAGATATTATCTATTTTAATTTATGTGATAACTTTTTTTTAATACAGTCTACCTTAACATTGGAGACTCTAGTCAGGCTCCAATGGCCTCAACACAACTAAAGAAGTAGGTTAGTCTAACCATGAATTAGGAAAGTTGAGATCGTTGCAAGAACATCAAATTTTACTAAATAACTGAAATTTGTGTAGGTATGGCAAAAGACTTCAAGGGGGAAATATCCTTCCATTCATCTCATTTTCCATCACTCATAAATCCTATTTAACCCAAACACTCCAAAAATTAGAGTTAAAATGACCACCCCTTCATGCTTCTTTCTAGTGTCTCAAGTCATCAATTGTAGTAAGTAGCCTTTAGCTAACCTGAAGAGCAGCTTCAGTTGACTCTACAATATGTAACAAGTTGTGATGATTTTAAGAGAGAGACTTTACATAAAATCATCTCAATTCAAGGGATCTTTTAGATGAATTTTTCATATGGTCAAGTTGGTCTATATTTTTTTAATAATAGTTGACCAAACTGATTTTATTTTAGACATAGTGTTGGACCAAATGAATTGATAAGAATTTAGATATCGGAGTTCAAATTTATTGAAAATAATAGACTTTAGTTTGTTTTCATTTTGTAGAAAGAGGTGTGATGCGCGTTAGACCACTTTTGAAGCACATGGCTCACATTTCTTTATGCCGAGTAAGGCGCCTTATCCTTGCAATAAATTGTGAGCATTTTCTTGTCTTCTTGGGCGAATCATCAGACGCCATTCTACGCGTATGTATGGGTGTCGATATAGATAGAGGGAGAGAGACTAGTTAAGGGTGTTGATTATCTCATGTTGCAAACACTGGTCCCTGCCAAATAAATGTGAAAAATCAGTTTTATGTTTTTTAATTGGTATCACGACAACTGTTTTTACCAGTTACTAACTTTTGAAGTAGTCGCAAAAATGGTGCATCTTGTGTCACAATTCATGTGACTTTTTTGGCCCACATGATTTTCACCAGCTTTGCTTGATTGAATGGTATTATATAAACAGTCAACCTGTTTTTGTGACACAATTGGGCAAATAAAACATCAGCATTGTGCATAAGGTGTATAAAGAATGGCCTGAACCCAGAGTTAGTTCATCTTCCCCTCTACTTCAATTTTACACCATTTTTTTTTTCATGGACTTGCCAGTGAAAAAGCCAAATTCTGGTCACCAAGAACCTCAGTGTTATCAAATTAAGATAAGAAATTTGTCCTACAAACTGCCTACACGATATGGTGAGCAGTTCAATTGGCTTGGCTGGGAGTGGACAAGGAGGGATAATACTAGGTGCATTTTGAAGAATGTAAATTGTGAAGCTAAATCAGGAGAGCTTACAGCAATTGCTGGTCCAAGTGGGGCTGGAAAAACCACATTGCTGGAAGTTCTTGCTGGAATGATCGTTCCATGTAGAGTCTCCGGTCATGTTCTTGTCAATGAGTTGCCAATGGATGCAGCGTATTTCCGAAGAGTGTCAGGTTATGTGACGCAAGATGAAGCCCTTTTCCCCCTTCTTACTGTTGAAGAAACATTAATGTACAGTGCACGTCTAAGGCTGAGTGGGGGACGTGAAAAGGCCAAAATTCGAGTCAAAATGCTGTTGAAGGAGCTTGGATTGGATCACATTGCTGGAGTGAGAATAGGCAGTGAATCAAACAGAGGAATTTCAGGTGGCGAGAAGCGTAGAGTAGCAATTGGGGTGGATTTAGTACATGATCCAGCAGTTCTTCTACTTGATGAACCTACATCAGGACTTGATTCTGCCTCAGCGCTTCATGTAATGTTGCTGCTTAAATCCATGGCCAAGAACCAAAGCAAGACCATTGTGCTAACCATCCACCAACCCGGATTTCGAATTCTCGAGTTAATTGACAAAGTTATATTGCTATCCAATGGAGTTTCCCTTCATAATGGTTCCTTGAATCTCCTAGAGGAGCGGATTCTGTCCGCAGGCCATTGTATCCCTCGACATGTCAATGTGCTTGAATTTGCCATTGATGCTATAGAGAGCCTGCACAAAGAAGAAACCGATATCCAAAAATGCGAAATGGAACAAGAAGATGATCACATCATAGAAAACTCCCTCTTTGATCATATGAAAGGAAATCAAATCTTATACTGCAATTCTCCAATCAAAGAGGTACTGATCCTCAGCCAGAGATTCTTCGACAACATTATCAGAACTAAACAGCTTTTCGCAGCGAGGACAATCCAAGCATTGCTAGCTGGAATCGTATTAGGGACGATTTTCATGAATGCTTTTAATAATTCCAAGAGATTGAAACTGCAAAATCAAATAGGTTTCTTTGCCTTCAGCCTGACCTTCTTGATGTCATCGACAACAGAAGCCCTACCAATCTTCTTGCAAGAAAGGAGAATTTTAATGAGAGAGACAACTAGAGGAGCCTACAGAGTCTCTTCTTACGTTATAGCAAACACTCTGGTATTCCTTCCTTTTCTACTCATAGTTGCCCTTCTCTACACTACCCCGGTTTACTGGTTAGTCGGAATGAGACACAAAATTGATGGATTCCTCTATTTCTCTCTAGTGGTTTGGATGGTTGTCTTAATGTCAAATTCTTTCGTAGTCTGCTTCAGTGCCCTAGTGCCAAATTTCATCATGGGAATGTCACTGATTGCTGGAGTAATGGGCTCATTTTTCCTCTTCTCGGGGTACTTCATATCGAAGGATACCATACCCAAGTACTGGAATTTCATGGAATACTTGAGTCTGTTCAAGTATCCATTTGAATGCTTTATGATATATGAGTTCGGAGGAGAACAGGGAAAATCAAGATGCTTAGAAAGTATTGATGGTGCATGCCTATTCTATGGTGAGCAATTCTTGAAAAAGCAAGGCTTGAAGGAGTCACAGAAATGGAGCAACTTAGTTATGATGTTGGTATTCATATTTGGTTACAGATTTGCTGGTTTTCTAATTCTGAGGTATAGAACTCACATAAGCAGAATCTAAAAAGGATATTCTACCAAAATTTATGAGTTTAGGAGACTGCTAATTGTTTAAGATTATGTCTATGTTCATTTAAATACTTCAAAACTTGTAGAATTCTGCCTTTTGCAGTACATTCAGTTCTCTTCTTTATGTGTAGATTTCATCTCAAGTTGTTTCAGATACATAATCATCGCATGTCTGCAGGCTGCGGCATTCTTATTGAAAGTTGTGACTCAACCCCGAAGGTTTACGGATGGAGTAAAACTTAAAATATTTGCAAAGAAAAATATTCTATTATTGCGGGAAAATCAATATACTTCCGTAACAATTAGAAGAAGATAAATTAGCCTAGATTCGACTATAAACCTACTCTATCTTAATTTAAGTATATGCCTTTGATATACGAGTGTCAGGATGTAATTCCACATCCAGGCCTTGTCGCATATAAACATTCATCTAAACTCATCAAAACTGCCAATGTTAGCAAAACTGGAGAAAACAATGATATTTTCATTCTTCCTTGTTGCACCATTCTCTTCAAAACTGAATACACTTGATTCTTATCTTAGTATACAAGAGATACGTTTTAGCCTTCGGGTGAAATCGATTTTTCAAGTAATGGGGTTTTTTTTTTTTTTTTTTTTTTTTTTTTTTTTTTTTTATTTTTTTTTTTTTTTTTTTTTTTTTTTTTTTTTTTTTTTAAACGTGTGGTTAAAAAAACAAAGTTATAAAAAATAAGAATAATAATTTTTTTTTCAAGAATGCCATTGAAATTCTGTGTTCATTATGTTTCGGCTATTTCTCAAATTATCTATTGATTTCCGGGGATGGACCATGGAAAAATCTACGACTTCCAAAGCCACTAGCATTCAATTTGAATGAATCAAGTCCCTTTCGTTGGTTCGCTTGGGTGGTGTGAGAAAAAAGTGATTTTGAAAAAACTAGTTTAAGATAAAGTCCATGTTTAGTTCACTTAGAAAAGTGGATTAAAATTTAAATTAACTTCAATAATTAATTTTAAAATATATTTCATGGGATCTACAACTTTTCAACTGTACATTTTATCAAATTTTATTAAAATATACTAAAAATCTTATTTTTAACTAAACCAGGTGCAAGGGCTTTGTGATTGTCTTAACAGCAATTGTTCAAAAACTGTAGCATAAATTTCAAACATGCAAAAGATTCCGTGTACGTAATCAAGAATTCTATCTCAACTCGTACAGGCAGTAGAAGTTTTCTGGTTTGAACCTTATTTTCAACAGATTTGTCACCCTCAATTCCACCTGTGTCTGAAAAGTAAAACTTCTAATCCAAATCTTATCTCGGAAATGGGATAAACATTATCCATTCCTCGCATCGCACCCTATATATATGCCATAGTGCTAATTCATATAACCATTCAAATCAAACTTCATCTGGTATAAAGAAAATGGAGAAAACAATGCTGTATTCAATCTTCCTCGTTGCACTATTCTCATCAAATTTCTTTACGGGTTCTTCTGAGCCAGTGCTCGACACTGAGGGCCATCCGGTTCGACCAGGCGTCAAGTACTACATACTTCCCTCCTCGCCTGGCGCCGGGGCCGGCCTCACTTTATATAACAACAAAGGCAAGTGTCCGCACGAAATCGTCCAAATTCTAAACGAGCCCAACAATGGCCTTCCGGTTACCTTTTCCCCGGCCAATGCACGTGACAAAACGATCCAACTCAACACGGATTTGAACATAAAGTTCACAGATATCCAGCACACAACGCCATGCCCGGAATCCAAGGTTTGGAAATTCGATGCCAGCAATCAGAAACAAGATGCCTTGTTCGTGACAGTTGGCGGAGTTGAAGGGAACCCAGGACGTGAAACGTTGCCCAACTGGTTCAAGATTCAGAAGGAACATAAATACTATAAATTACAATATTGTCCGACAGTGTGTAAAGATTGCAGGGTTATCTGCGGAGACATTGGTCCGGTCATCTACGATGGAAGAAAACGTTTGGCTGTGAATCAGTCACCGCTCATCGTTGGCTTCAAGAAGGCATAAAATTTTTATGTCTATAGAACATAAAATTATAGATTATTATGTAATAAATAAGATGAGTTTTTGGGTTTCAGTATATGCATCATGCATGTATATGTAATCTTTATGGAGTAATGGAATAAAGGAGCTTCAGAATTTCCCGGTTCAACTTATTTGTTTTTTTTTTTTCATTAATATTAATTCTCAATTAAACTATTTTTTACTAGACTAGTGATTTTGATACATTTCATCAACTCTGATCAAAAGTGATAAAAAAAAATTTATTAGCTTTTTTCATTAATATTAATTCTTAATTAAACTAATTTTTATCCATTTGCCCTTCTTTTTGCTTTCGTTTATAATTCTTGTAGAAGAAATTTTTAATAAAATTACCTTAATTAATATCTAAAAACTTCTTTCTAAAAGAGTTTTAATTAAAGAGTCCAAAAGTAACTTTGGAACCTTAAAAAATTTCTTTTGACTCTTCAAACGAGCCCACGGTTATAACCAGAGTTATTATCGAAATTGTTAATAAAAATTTTAAGCATCGTAAAATATACATTTAAAATTAACTATTGATTTTAATCTTTAAAACTTATTCCAAAAGGCATCAAATGTCCAATTAAATAATTACATAGTGTTCAATTCCCATCCTTCTCACCAAAGCTTTAAAAAATAAATAAATAAATATGAAAAGTAATAAGGGGTATTTTTGACAACCTCAGCCTTCACCACATATTCCAGGAGTGCCCTTATCATTTTTTCTAAATAAGATCAAAGGTGCCCTTATCAAAATCTAATTATCTTGCTCTCACTGTATCCTCATTCATTTGTGAGCATCCCTAACCCTCACAACATTTCACAGTTCCTTCACAATCTCAAAAGCTACAAAACTCTGATGGCGGCGGCAGCGCCAACCACTTTCTCCTCCTCCTCCACCACCTCCTCAGCCTTATCTAAACTCCTCAAGCCACCAACCAAAGTTCCTGCTCTCAGCTTGGGCTTCCTTTCATCTTCCACCCCGTCGCTTAATCGGCTCCGCGCTTCTGCTTCCCAAGCCGGAGCTTCACCTGCAGGTTCGGCTCTGTCGGCTCGTATGGTCTCTGCTCCGGCCATCAAGCCTTCTGTCTCTCTCGATTTCGACACCTCTGTTTTCACCAAGGAGAAAATCAACCTTTCTGGCCACGATGAGGTCTATATATTTCTGAGCTTTACCTGTTTGAATCTTTATATGCATGTGAATATAGTTTTATTTTATTGGTTAATTCGCTTATTTTTGGGCTCAAATAGCCGATAAGGTAAGGTGCAACTTGTACATGTGTTCTGAAGTGTTCTGTGAATGTTGTACATTGTTGTTACCGAACCGATATTATCCTGCAATTATAGTTCGTCTCCTAAAAGAAAATTTGTACCCTTTTATCCTCCGTGCACATAATGAATGTGACTTTGTTGGATTTATGCAGTATTTTATTATATTTTTTTATTTTGTAAATTTAAATGAAGGTAACTTATTCTTGAGATGTCACCGTGGAAGCTATTTCTTATTTTGGTAGGTTAGCAATCATCCTGCATTATTAATTTACTGTGATAACAATGACCACATTTTGTTGTGGAAATAGAGTATTGAGGATGTTGATGTGGTCTGTCACCGTAGTTGACACCATCATCCTAAGGTTGTAAAGCTTTCTCTTTAAGAAGATTTTGTTATGTAACGATTTGGCCTCGTACAGCTTTGTCAGCGCATCCCATATCTCTTTGGCCGTCTTTTTCTCCGCCACACTTGACAATACTCCATCGGCTAGTGCAAGGTGCAGATTAGCAACTGTGTTGCTATCCATCTTGTTCCACTTAGTATCGTCAATGATCTCCATAGACCTTTGTCCAATTGTCGCTAAGCAGTTATCTTTTCGCAAAACTGCTTTTATTCTCATTTTCCGTAATGAGAAATTGTTCCTATTGAACTTTTCAATCTCATGCTTTGTCGCCATTTTGTTCACCAATACTATGATTGAACAACGACCCTACATAGAACCTTGCTCTTATACCACTGCTGATTATCACCTTGTGGGCAGTGGGATCCTACAGGCGGTACCCCTTGATTCCATCAGCATACTCTAAGAAAATACATTTTCTGGTTTTTGGATCCAGTTTTGATGTTTCTTGGGTATTGTACATAACGTACACAGGACTTTCAAATATATGTAAGCGAGAATAAAGAGAGTATTTTCTACTTGTTTGCTCCTAATTACAAGAGAGATTAACTGTTGTTATCTCCTTGTATTTAGAGAGTGTGTTATAATTTTCCTACTATAGTGAAATCCTCCTATACTTGCCCGTGGACGAAGTCTAAATTTGTTGAACCACGTAAATACTTGTGTCCATTTTTAGCTGTGTTTTCTCAATTCATTAGCTGCAAAATCCATATACAAGATGGGATTATGAAAATAATCAAAATTTTACACCCTTACGATGATGGAGTCAACTACGATGACAGACCACATCAAGACCCTCAATACTCTATTTCCACAACAGTGACAATAAAATCTGATCCTCCATAACATAATGCATGTATGTATTTTTTTTAACCATTAAGAAATCAACAACCTTATCCATTTGGTCAAAAAATGTGGCTTTATTTATTAACATTTCTCCCACTTAAAGTCACTTTTGTTGACCACTTCAATCCTTTCCATACTTGCCATTTCCATGCTAGTTACGTTTCTGCTAGGCCAATAGAGGATCGACACCATATAAACTTGTCAGTTCTGATTGGCTTTGTCAACATATCAACTAGGTTGTCTACTGTATGGATTTTCTGCTTTCATCACCACAAGCGCTCTGACTATCACAAAATGACACTTGGCATGGACAAGCGCTTTGACTATTACAAATGGATAAGGTTGTTGATTTCTTAATGGTTAAGAAAAATACATACATGCATGCAAAGGTGATAGTGGCAAAATTGGAGTTTCTAACTAATGACAGTCAAAAGTGGTGAAAATTCCAGCCAACTTTCCTCTTCATTAGGCGGTGGAATTTAATGTAAATGGTGGCTAAATTTCCTATAAATATATGATTGAAGTAGAGAGAAAAGTAGTGCATGTAGAGAGGGAAAAAAATTGTGGAAAGCAAATTGAGTGGAGAGAAAATTAAGAGAGTATTTCCTACTTGTTTTCTCCTAATTATTAGAGAGATTAATTGTTGTTATCTCCTTGTATTTAGAGAGTGTTGTAATTCTCCTACTATATTGAAATCCTCCTATACTTGCTCGTGGGCGAAGTCTAAATTGGGTGAACCACATAAATACTTGTGTTTATTTTTAGCTGTGTTTTCTCAATTTTATTATTTGTCAGCCAAACTTGACCCACGCGTTTTCTCCACAACACATTTTTCAATACTTCTGCTATATGTCCATGAGATGTTTCTGTCCTTCTTTGTCTATATATGAATATGCTTGAATTAATGGATTAAGTTTAATTTCTGTTGTTACTACTGCAAGAAATGATAGAGCATCTTATAACTCACTTGTGTTGAAATTTGTGCTCAACAAAAAGTTGCATGTTGTTCCTTGAAAAATGAAAACAAGCAAGATTGATTTCTTGAGCTGACCACCATTACATAAATATATATATATATATATATATATATATATACACACGCACACTTAGGTAATGTGGGATTGTATGGAATTAAGTGTCGACATTGATGACTGAGAATGCTGTTTGTTTTGTATGCAGTACATTGTGAAAGGAGGGAGAAATTTGTTCAAACTTTTGCCTGATGCATTCAAGGGTATCAAGCAGATTGGGGTGATTGGTTGGGGTTCACAGGTATATTCTTGTTGGTTATTTTACAAATATTTTTATTTTTATTACATTTATTCCTTGTCCGGTCTTACCTTTTATCCCTCGTGGATTTATCCTAAGCATTCTTTGGTGAATTCTGTTATGGTTTGCAAATGAATTAGCCATATATACATTTTAACTTTGAAATATATCAATTAGAGTACACATTCCTGTGGTGGTTGTTGGTTCCTGTGCTAATGCTCCTTTTGTGGTTCGTTGTGTTCTTAAAAAAGAGTTTCCTTTATCCCCATACATTTATGTAGGTTACTAGTAAATTTCGAAAGGAATGAAATGCATATTATATGTTATGTGACTCTGCACCAAACCATCTTTTGCTGTTCAAAAAAAGCCTTGGGAAATGATATTCTTCAATGGAACATTGGTGGGACTATGTTAAGTCAATCGTATGATAACTGTAGTCTAGCACACTTGGTTTCCTGTCTTCAGTTGGTGGTGCATTGGAAATGTGGACAAATTACCTCTTTCGGGCTAGTTTTCTTTTTATTGTAAATTTGTGTCATCACACAAGTCTCACTTCATGGTGTTCTGTTGATTTTCTGTAAAGATGATAAGAATTCTTATGCATTTGTGTAGGGACCAGCTCAAGCTCAGAACTTAAGGGATTCTCTTATTGAAGCAAAATCTGATATTGTCGTCAAGGTAATTTGTTATTTCATTTTTGCTTCTCTCATATTCTAAAGTAACAATATTAAGTTTTTCAGTCTCATATGTAGCTTGTCCCCGTATTCTTCTTCATGCAGATTGGTTTGAGGAAGGGTTCTCGTTCATTTGCTGAGGCTCGTGCTGCTGGATTTTCTGAAGAAAATGGAACCCTAGGGGACATATGGGAAACTGTCTCTGGCAGTGATTTGGTGCTGCTCTTGATATCCGATGCAGCTCAGGTATTAAATTGCCTTGTTTATTAAGCCTGAGGGCGGCTTTAGTGGAATCCTTTATGTGGTTATATCTTTATTTAAGAATAAATGTTTAAATGATTTCTTGGGTGTAAAAATTGATTTTTTACAGGAACAGCAGATGAGAGAGTGTCACTGTTTCTTGTTATCAATCATTTTATCATCTTACTGAATTTTTCTGTTTGAATGCTAATAAGGATGCTACCAATTTTTGTTACTTCATCTTAATTTTATGGGATATTCTCATTCTTAATTTTGTCATGTATTGCAGGCTGATAATTATGAGAAAGTGTTCTCCCACATGAAACCAAATAGCATACTTGGACTTTCCCATGGATTCCTTTTGGGCCATTTGCAGTCATTGGGCCTTGACTTTCCCAAAAATGTCAGTGTCATAGCTGTATGTCCAAAGGGAATGGGACCCTCTGTTAGAAGGTTATATGTGCAAGGGAAAGAAATCAATGGTGCTGGAATTAATTCGAGTTTTGCTGTCCACCAGGTATGTGTATCTCTGAATGCATAGATTAATGGTGGTGGTTGTGGGCGTGTATGAGTGTGGGCAATTGTTTTGATGTTCATTTTTATGCAAGGTTCATGACATATTCTCTATGTTTTTTTGCCTTAATGTACAGGATGTTGATGGCAGAGCTACAGACGTTGCCCTTGGATGGTCAGTTGCCCTTGGTTCTCCTTTTACTTTTGCCACTACTCTGGAGCAGGAGTATAAGAGCGATATTTTTGGGGAGCGAGGTACTTTTCATTGTCACTAATTTTTGTAAACTTGATAATTTCTGAATTTTGTCCTTTTGATCAATAGGCATTTTACTTGGTGCTGTGCATGGCATTGTGGAATCATTGTTCAGAAGGTACACTGAAAATGGAATGAGTGAGGAACTTGCCTACAAGAACACCGTGGAGTGCATAACTGGGATTATTTCTAGGACCATTTCAACAAAGGTTAGTTTTAGTAGCATTAAATTTTCCATTCTACTTCATGCTACTCTCTTGTTATATCTCTGTTGGTGCGTGCTGTCTTTGAACATTTCCACTACTATTTCTGCTCGATACATCTCCTAATTCATTTTTGTTTTGTATTTTGTGACAGGGTATGCTGGCTGTTTACAATTCATTGACTGAAGATGGCAAAAAGGAGTTCGAAGCTGCATATAGCGCTTCATATTATCCCTGCATGGACATCTTATACGAGTGCTATGAAGATGTAGCAAGTTGCAGTGAGATCAGGAGTGTCGTCTTGGCCGGACGTCGCTTTTATGTATGTTGGATTCGATTTCCTATCTTCTCAATTTAAGCTTCGTGATTTCCATTTTTTTTATCATTTTTCTCCTGTGCAGGAGAAGGAAGGTTTACCAGCTTTCCCAATGGGCAACATTGACCAGACGCGGATGTGGAAAGTTGGTGAGAAAGTTCGAGCAGCACGTCCAGCAGGTGACTTGGGACCTTTGTATCCTTTCACTGCAGGTGTCTATGTGGCATTGATGATGGCCCAGGTGAGGATTCTTTCTGAATCTTAACTTAAATTTCTTTCTTTGTACTTGCTTTTTAAATAGCGTATTCTAGTTATATGCAGCGAATAAAAAAGGGAGACCATGGAAACGTGTTTCGCTGAGTAATGGCAGTCATAGATAGTTCTAATTGGTTGATCCAAAAAGTGGTTATGCATACTCTAAAGTAACCATCCAGGCAGTGTGTTTGATATCTGCTTAAGCGTATGTTGTTCGAATTTGGTTTTTAGGGCCTGTTTGAGCCAAATTATTTCAAAAAAATGCATTCTTAAGTGATTTGACATCATTTCAAGCACACATTCTTTAATAAAATAATATTACACGCAAATAAAAAAAAATTCTTATTTTTTAACCACACATTTCTCATCAATACACTATTCAAGAATGCATTATTATCAAAATAGTGTGGCTCAAACACCCCCTCAAAATAAACAAATTTCAAAATAATTACATTTTTTCATTTGATTATTATTTTAGGTCCCGTTTGGTACCCATTTTTTTCAAAATGCATTTTTCTCTCTCTTCTTTTTAATCACACATTCTTTATTAAAATAATATTATACGTAAATAAAAAATTTTCCCTTATTTTTCAATCACACATTTCCCATCAATATACTATTCAAAAATGCATTTTTACATAAAAATGTCTCCCAAACACCCTCCTAGTGTATATTCAGTTTACTTGAGAAACACAAACGATATCTTAGCTGGAAAAGAAAAATACATTGACAAATTGATTTCGTTGTACCTTTTATCTGCTAACATTTTCCCTGAATTTACTTCGAATGCTAATACAGATTGAGATTCTGAGAAAGAAAGGGCACTCCTACTCGGAGATTATCAACGAGAGTGTAATCGAGTCTGTGGATTCATTGAATCCTTTCATGCATGCTAGAGGCGTTTCATTCATGGTTGACAATTGTTCAACAACAGCACGACTAGGATCAAGGAAGTGGGCCCCACGTTTCGACTACATTCTCACACAGCAGGCTTTGGTAGCAGTGGATAAAGGTGTTCCTATTAACCGAGATCTCATTAGCAACTTCTTATCAGATCCTGTCCATGGAGCAATCGATGTATGTGCCCAATTGAGACCTACTGTGGACATATCAGTGCCCCCAGATGCTGATTTTGTCCGTCCCGAGTTGCGCCAGTCCAGCAACTAATGTTTTTGAAGTTTAATCTCCTAAGAGGCTCGTCTCCCTGGGATCGGAGAGGAATTGGATTTTATGGAATGTTTGAGTGAGCCAGATGGCCGGTTATTCGCTTATATTAGTAGAGTTGTTTTGTATGGATTTTTACTCTTGCGTTGATAAGACTTTGGTGTGTTCGGTAATATTATGAGACAGTTTTTATTTTGGCTTCGAAGGAAATATGAAATCTATATATTTCTTATAGTTTTGGGAGTTCGAACTTTTTGTTCCAACCTTTTCAAAAATAAAATAAATCTAATAATTAACAATTTTTAGGCATGTAATTCATCACCAATCTTTTATTCATATGGTAGAACTCGTCATTCCCTTTATTTTTGCTATTAATGATGAGTTTGTAAATGAATCTCACTAACGGTATTTAAAAAGATATTGACATATAACAAAAATATTTAGAAAACTTTAATCGAATTTATAATTCAACGACTTCGATTAAATTTAATATCAATTTACGTATTGCATTTGAAAGGAAGTTAACATTACCCTAGACAGTTTTGCCATTTCATAAAGTCTGTCATGCTCAAGTTGACAATTTAATTCAAATTTCCCCGAATTCGTTATTGAAAAAATTAGTTGTGCAAATTTATAAATTCGTTGTTGAGAACTTGCATACATTGTATTAGGCACCAAGGATACAAGTTTCCATTCAAGAAAGCCATTTCATTTAGATTGATGTTATTCAAAGTGAAGATTACCGGTAATTGTCCCACGTAATATACACATAACAGTTTGTAATCGTCTCACATAATATACACATAACAATTTGTTGCCTTATGCATTAAATAATAAACTATCATATATATGTTACGTAAAATAATTGCTAATAATCTTCTATTCACATTATTCTTCATTTTAAATTTTTCTAAGGCCAAAAAATCTGATATATATTATGCCCCTGTTTATCATCCATTCTTTTTCATTCTTTGTTCTATAGTACTCATTTTCAACCACACATTCTTCATTAAAATGATATTATACGTAAATAAAAAATTTTTCCTTCTTTTTTAACCGCACATTTCAACATCAATCACTATTTCATAATACATTCTCTACAAATAATGGGTGACAAACACACCCTATATATGTATTACCAAATACCAATATGGGAGGTTTATGGCTAAATCACTACCAGAACTGAAATCGAATTAAATCACATGTTTATATATTGGGTTACTTCTTTTCAATTTCATTCATGTAAACTCATTCTCGTAGGCTGCTAGACATGTTTGCTAAATTTTCCTTATTCATGAACTCACACGGGAATAAGTTCTCTGATTGGTGGGTAAAATCCACACCAAGTTGCCTTCAGAGATAATAATATTCAATATAAGTGAAGGAAAGAGAAACACACAAATCTTCCATCTAGGCTAAGGTAGTAATTGAAAAAATAAAACCACCTGCATGCCAAACCAAATTCACATAACACAGTACTTCATTCAATAAAGGAAGATGGCTAAGCAAACTGTTAAGCCATAACTAACGAGACACACGATAAACCAAGTATTCTGTGGGTGTATTGTATCATCCTCTCCCCCACAAATTGACATTTCCAGGCCATAAGCATTCAGTTGATTCACTGCAAGAAAAAGACGAGTCCACATAGTTTTTAGTTCAAGTCGTAAATACAAGTTGTTTATAACTGTCATATATATTCCTGGACACGTAAGAAGCCTACCTCTGAACCCTCTCCTCCAGTTTTCTTGGCAGCATCGAGCTTTTGAGCTTCTTCTGTCGGAACAGCAATTTGAAAAAGATTAAACAAACGACACTTAAAAATATAATTTTTTTGATTGTTTAGTATTACATCCATTCACTTGTTCCATCTCAAAGATATCACCACATAAATAACTGAGGGTTTATCATTTAAAGGAAAAATATATTTCCTTCCCATAAATAAATCTGTCACGCACATAAATGTGAACTTTACTTTTCTCATGTTAATATTGGAAATAACACGGTAGACTTTTGCTAGCAATCTTATAAAGCTTACAACTCCTCTCAAAACCAATATCAAGGGATCAGAAAGTCCTTCAAAGTAAATACCATTAGATTGTGCTCATTAATCTGTTTATAAGTTGTGCACTTGCATTCTACCCTCTTACAAATTCCAGTGAAGTTTAAAACCTAGATAGGGGAATGTTACAGCCATCATAAAAGAACCCAGCCAAAAATCTGAGCAAAATGCAATTATGAGGCAGTCAGCATTGAGCCATGTGGTTTTGTGAGAACTGTTATTTTACCTGCATCCTCTGGTATGTCAGAGGTCCACAATGTGAGATTGTCCCTAAGAAGCTGCATAATCAAGGTGCTATCTTTGTATGACTCCTCATTCAAGTTGTCCAGCTCAGATATTGCTTCATCAAAAGCTTGCTTGGCAAGGTGACAAGCTCTGGAATAAAAACATATCACCTGCTGAGTACTAAAATGCGAAATATGTACTGGAAACAACAGAATAACTGTAAGAGACAAACCTCTCAGGTGAATTCATAATCTCATAGTAAAAGACCGAAAAATTCAAAGCCAAACCCAAACGAATGGGATGTGTCGGAGGCAACTCAGCCTCCGCTGTGGTGGTGGCTGTCTGCAAGCAGATTCCAGAAGTAATAGTAAGCAAGTGCATGCACACAAACATCCACACACACTCTGAGAGAGAGAATAAATTGATATCACTCAAAAATGAAGTTAGTTCATTAAGATATCCACAAAGTCTGAGCTCCTAAATCTTATGGTCCTATAAAAGTTGATATATGGCTTTACCGAATTCATTTCAAACAATACAAAAGTAACACTATCATAGAAGCAGTGACGTTACTCTACCAAGTTAAGATCTAGGGATCCCAATTTTCAAGACAGGCAAACCATGTGCTTCTGAAGCACACCAACTCAAGATGTCAATGAATGAGGATGACAAGGAGAATAATAGCTCAGGAAATTTAGTAGAGGAGCGCGTAAGTTGACCTAGACACCCAGGGGCATAAAAAATAAAAATAATAATAGCTCAGGATTCAAGCAAGTACACCTCTGTGATTTTGAGAGAGTGGAATGTGTGGAATGCATTTATAGTATCATGCAATGAAATTTAATAGCTTATTACATGATAGGTTGAGATGAACCACCACATCCCTTGCCCTCTCACAAATCCTTAAACCGTTAATAACTTCCTCTACACTATAAAATAAAACTAATACTAGGTCCTTTCATCTCGGTGAATGTATTTTGATACACTGCAACGCTTATCGCAGCATATAGTGAAATACTTTCTCGGGCAAAGATTCATCTTCTTGTTTCCTTAACTTTAATAATGTCTCTCACAGGATTTCTTTAAAGGGAATGGACAATTTAGAATTCCTGGTAGATAAATTAAACCCAATACCACAGTCAGGCACACATCAAGAGCCACAAACATGATGACTCTTCAACGACAAAAATTAGGAAAATCCTACACATAGTATATCGAGCCAAGAGGAATATATTATCTCATAATAGAACTCAAGCAATATGCTTTATGGATTCACAAAACATTGACTGGCCTGAAAATGTTTAGCTATAATCATACTGGTGTGCCCATGGGTAGTTTTCGTAGAAGTACACGAGAATTATACCTCATATGCCTCCAGTGACTGATCAGCAACTTCTTTCCTCTCATTACCAGCTTTGAATTCTGCAAGATACCTATAATAATCCCCTTTCCTGCAAAAGACAGAGACCAATCAATTCCTAAAAAACTGAAAATCACATTCAACATAACTGAGGGTAAGACCATCCTCACATCTTGTAGTAAAACACAGTAGACTCGCCAGCTGTACACGAAGGAATGAGATGCTCATCTATGACGGTCATGATGTCACTACAGATGTTGGTGAGCTCTGACTCCACCTTCTGCCGGTACTCCTTGATCCGCTTAGCATTCAGCTCATTCCCTCTGGATTCCTCCTTCTGCTCTATTGAAGATAATATTCTCCATGAAGCTCTCCTAGCCCCAATCACATTCTTGTACCCCACCGAAAGCAAGTTCCTCTCCTCCACTGTCAACTCAACATCCATCTTCGCCACTTTCTTCATAGCTTCCACCATTTCTGTTAACAAAATCACAAGTATAACTCAACGATCAGATTCCACAATTGAGAATGAAATTTTACTAGATACAAGAAAACTGGAAAATCAATTGTTTATAAACTATTCGAATCGCCAATGACACAAACAAATTAAAAATAATAATAATGAAAGACTTCAATAATTCATTCAGTAGAAGCTACGAAAAACCTCAGTTCTAACAGAACGAATTATTAAAATTAGAAAAATATCTCAACAAAATATTAATATTTAATGAACTCCTAAAGGCACAAGTCAAATACTAACTTAAAAAGCGATATTATAAGGCTGATTGGAACTTTGCCCCCTTCTAATTAGTAATTAATAATCCGTCAGTATCTCGATCAAAATATTAGCTAACTCAAGCTCAAATTCTCCAAAATTTTTCAAAGTTTTACGAATTATAATTAGAAGTGTGATCTATATATACTTAACTATATTTACATGCATAATAAAATTTTGTGCGAGGTCGGGTGACTTTACCATCGTAGCGTTCGGCTTGCTCGGCGAGCTTGGCAAGGTAAACGGAGGTTTCGCGATCTGAGGAAGAAGCCATCGCCGATCCAATGAATTGAAGTATTTTCTCTCTCTAGATTCTGGCACTGACAAAGTTTACAACACTCTCCCACAAATTTCACTGCCGACGAGAAGACTGTAGAGAGAGTGGTTGAATTTGAGAGTATTGATTGATTGCGTGACACAGTTTTTCTCCTGTAATTCTCCTTCCTATTGCTACAATTCCAACTAAAAACGCGTTTGTGGTTGAGCGTAACTTCTTGTACATTGACATTTATAGACACGCATGATGTAATGTACTTTGTGTTGGAAATAATGTTACTCCACCAAAGATGAGAACGAATTACAAACAAAATAAAAAATCTAAAGAAGTATAGAAGATGAAGAAACAGCAAAGTATATATGAAGAATTTTGAAGGCTCAAACACAATCTTTAATTGTTGTCCTCAAACGAATTTTGCCCCCACTATTTTGGTGTTTAAAGGGTGATCCGGCAAAAGGTTTGAAGGATTAATCAAGCCTTATAGAGATTCAAACACTAAACACTTGTTTGAATCTCTAAAACTTAAGAACACAAAGAAAAAGATGAATATGAGAGGGTATTTTATCTTTTGGATTTGATCTCAAGAAGGATCAATATAATAAGTGTTTTTTCAACATTTTTCAATGACCCAAGATCACCTATTTATAGCCAAGTAGTATAGCTTCACGAAGTGGTGCACCTTATGGATGAAAAACCACCAAAAAACCAACAAAAAAAGACCCAACGGTCGTTTTTCTGTACCATGCGCCCGCATGGTACAAACGTCTCGGTAGGGTTCCATGCGGTCGCATGGCTTAGGTCGCATGGCCTAAAATTTTTTTTTTTTTTTAATTGTTGGTTTTGAACAATCATACCACTTCATAACAATCCCCTACTTGTTCAAAATTAACAAGTTCTCATTATTCAAATTATACGATACTCATGCGTAAGGATTAGATATCTTTCGATTTGAATCTAACCATAGTGTAATTCAAACAAAGTAAAGTCGAAATTCAAGGTAGCGTGAAGCTTTGAACCAAGTATTTCATGTGACAATACCGGTAAGAACACACACACGAATATCACGTGTTCTCAAGTTCCTCGTTCCTCGCTTAGCCCTTTTATGGCCTTGCACTTATCCTTTTCAATAAACTTTTAAGAGAGAACTCCAACTCTCTATTAAAGCGGTACCACCTTGAAGTTTATTTAGGTAAAGTTCTTTCAGTACCTTTGTTACTTTTAGAAGTACTTGTGGTTTTACACTGAACTTTGTTAAGAGCTTATAGCTCAACCCTCGTTTCAGTAACAACCAGCATTATATTAATCTAGGATAGAATTATTGCGGATTATAATAATGTTGTAATTATCCACATATCGAATGACTTGTTGTTACCCTTTGAACCCGTGTAAAACCTTTTGAGTAACGACAGGTAGGGTTGCCATCATTGATTCTTTCAGTACCTTTGTTACTTTTAGAAGTACTTGTGGTTTTACACTGAACTTTATTAAGAGCTTATAGCTCAACCCTCGTTTCAGTAACAACCAGCATTATATTAATCTAGGATAGAATTATTGCGGATTATAATAATGTTGTAATTATCCACATATCGAATGACTTGTTGTTACCCTTTGAACCCGTGTAAAACCTTTTGAGTAACGACAGGTAGGGTTGCCATCATTGGTGGATATTTTTAGTTAAGGAGTTTCAATCCCATCCTACTTGAAGTAGATGCCACTAAATCTCTATTTAGAGGTTTAGTTAGAGGATCCGCCAAATTTTCATTCGACCTTACATAATTTAGGGAAATTATTCCATCTTTGATTAACTTCCTTATGTAGTTGTGTCTAAAACTTATATGTCTAGACTTCCTGTTATATACATCATTGTATGCTTTAGCTAAAGTGGCTTGACTATCACACATTATTGGTATTGAAAAATTATTCTTTGATCCCAAAGGTATTTCATAGAATAAGTCTTTAAGCCATTCAGCCTCCTTTCCTGTATCTGATAGGGCTACAAATTCAGATTCCATAGTTGAATGTGTTATGCATGTTTGTTTCTTCGACTTCCAAGAAACTGCACCTTCTCCTAGAGTAAACACCCAACCCGTAGTTGATTTACTTTCATTTGTGCTAGATATCCAACTAACATCAGGTAAATCCTTCGAATATTGCTGGAAATTTAGTATATTGTAAACCTAAGTTCTTAGTTTTCTTTAAGTATCCGAGAACTCTCCCAATTGCTTTCCAATGTTCATTACTTGGATTGCTAGTAAACCTACTAAGTTTACTTATTGCATAGGCTATATCTGGTCTTGTGCATTGAACTGCATACATAAGACTTCCAATAGCACTTACATACTCTAATTGAGCAATTTCTCTTCCATTATTTTTTACAAGTTTTGAGCTCGGATCAATAGGGGTATTATACTCTTTTATGTTCAAATGTTTGAACTTATTTATCACATTCTCAATATAATATGATTGATTAAGGTAATAACCCCCACTAGTCTTTGAGACTTTGATACCCAAAATAGTATCAACTTGTCCAAGATCCTTCATCTTAAATGTGGAAGATAGAAACCTCTTCGTTTCTTTTATCCCATCCATGTGATTACTTATAATCATCATGTCATCAACATATAAGCATATAAATATCATGTAATCATCACGCACTTTAGAATACAAACATCTATCTACACTATTATGTTTAAATCCATATGATATAATTGCTAAGTCAGATTTCTCATGCCACTTCTTAGGTGCTTGCTTTAGCCCATATAACGATTTAATTAGCTTGCATACCTTATGTTTATTTCTTGGTAAAACAAAACCTTCTGGTTGTTCCATATAGACCTCCTCATCGAGATCCCCATTTAGGAATGCCGTTTTGACATCCATTTGATGAACATGCAAGTCATATATCGAGGCTAATGCAAACAATATCCTAATTGAAGTTATTCTTGCTACTGGTGCATAAGTGTCAAAATAGTCAAGTCCTTCCTTTTGTCGATAACCTTTGGCTACAAGTCTAGCTTTGAAAGTATTTAGAGAACCATCAACATTGTATTTTCTCCTAAATACCCATTTACAACCAATAGGTTTGGATCCGGGTGGTAGATCGATAAGTTCCCAAGTTTTATTTGACATTATTGAAACCATTTCATCCTTGATTGCATCTTTCCAAAACATGCTATCTCGGGAAGCCATAGCTTCTTTATAAGTTTTAGGATCGATTTCCACTTGTAGAACAAAAGGAATTGTTCTTACAACGTTCAACTCATTTCCTTCTACTAAGTAAAAGGAGATAAGTTGAGAATCAATTTCATCCAGTCCTAAAGACTTCTTAACTCGAGTTCTTTTGCTTCTTCGTGGTTCATTAGATTCATTAATATCTTTAGAAGATATTTCATCCTGTGTTCCACTTGAGCTTGGGATATTTACAAGGTTTTCCCTTAATTCGTTATTCGAGGTTAACGAATCTTCAAAGAACTCTACATCACTTGATTCAATAATCACATTGGTCTCCAAATTTAACAATCTATAAGATTTGCTATTGTTAACATATCCAACAAAAGCACATTTAATGCCTCTTGGACCTAATTTGTTTCTATTAGGGTTCGTGTTCTTGCAATAGGCAAGACACCCCCACACTTTGAAGTATCCAATATTTGGTTTTCTTCCTTTCCATAATTGATAAGGAGAAACCTTAGTATGTTTTGAAGGAATCCTATTAAGTATCCTACATGCACTTAATAAAGCTTCACCCCATAAATTAAAAGGTAACTTAGCAAATATAAGCATAGTATTAATCATTTCTACTTATGTTCTATTCTTTCTTTCAGCCAGATCATTTTGTTCGGGAGTCCTTGGTGCAGAACATTGATGAATTATGCCATGTTGTTCACAAAATAAATTAAAATCACTAAAAAAGTATTCACCACCTCTATCACTCCTTAAGGTTTTTATTTTCTTTCCTAGATGATTTTCAACTTCATTCTTATAAATTTTAAACCTGTTAAATGCTTCATGTTTATGTTTCATTAAATACACATATGTATATCTAGAGAAGTCATCGATAAAGGTAATAAAATACCTATTTTCACCTCTAGTTAGCATGCCGTTTAATTCACATATGTCCGTCTGAATTAGTTCCAAAATACTAGAGATTCTTTTTACACTTTGATATGGTTTTTTAATCATCTTAGATTCTACACAAGTTTTGCATCTATATTCATTATTTTCATTAAATGAAATTAAGTCACACTTTTTCATTCGTTTCATGGTACTTTTACCAATATGTCCTAACCTAGCATGCCATAATGAAAATAAATCCACAACATAAGCAAGATCAACTTTATTTATTTTATTGTCAACAGTACAAAGTTTGACCATTCCTTCACAAGAATAGTCTTTTCCAACAAAATTCCCTTTAAGAGATAATACAAGTTTACCGGATTCATACACACTTTTGATACCCGATTTTCCTAAGAGATTTCCACTAACTAAGTTCCGATTCATGTCCGGAACATGTAATACATTAGTGAGGGTAACCTTTTTCCCGGAAGTGAAGATTAAATCTACATTTCCTTTACCAATGACTTTGGATCGAACTTCATTGCCCATTTGAATCTCTTGGTCTCCATCCATTTCATGATAGGTCTTGAATAAAGATTTATCATATGATACATGTACCGTAGCACAAGTATCATACCACCACCCGGGAACCTTTCCCTTAATTGCATTTATCTCGCTCACGGTGGCCACAATCTTTTCTTCTTGAATGGAGTTGATTTTACCTTCGGAGTTGTTTCTTTTCCGGTGTCTACAGTCTTTTGCATAGTGACCAGACTTTCCACACACAAAGCAACCTCCTTTGTTCTTCTTCTTGAACTTGTTAAAGTTTCTTGAAGGCTTCCTTTTGTTGGTTTTTCCAGGTGGTTCAGATTTCTCTATAGCATTCGCTTTAGAAGTTCCTTTCGAAGAGTTTTCACTTCTATCGCGTAACCTGGATTCTTCTTCAATCCTTAGGTGCCTTTGCAATTGTTCCAAAGAGTAATCTTCGGAACTATACATAATTTTCTTTCGGTATCCTTTCCAAGTTCCCAGGAGTTTTGCTATTATAGCCCCCACTTGAAAGGTTTCCGGGATTTCAATCTTTACCGCCTTTAATTTGTTGACAAGGACTTGCAACTCATGTATT